GGTAAGGATTGTTTCAGTTTTTTCCTAAGAATTGATAGGTTCTATAGACAAAACCCAAACCTAAATCTATGAAGGCAAAGATTGAAAACAACAATTGAAGGCAGAGATCTGGAAAACAACACAGGAAACAAGAAACCAGAACGCAGTTTCAGAATGAAGAACAGAAGTGGGGTTCTCAAAAAGCATAAAGAAAACAAGAACTACAAGGCCAAGAACAGTGGCAAAAATACAAGAAGTAGTGAACAATAAATATGATTCACGGAATTAACAGTTTAAACAGAACAGTAATGGCAGCAAGAAGATAGAAGAACATCAGTAAACTGAATACATAAAGAATAGTGACTTACCAGAGAAATTGAAGCCAGAATGAAGTTCGCCGAAGACAGACAACGGTTACAGAAGTGACAAAATAGCGAGAGCCTCACCAGGGAGACGAATGACGTTGCAGAGCCTGGAGCTTGAAACAATGGCAGATTTGAAAGAAAGAGTTTTAGAGAGAGAAAAAAGCAAGAGAACTCATATGCAAAAGTGAAGAGACGAAAGAAAGGGGGAAAGATTTTGTCAAAAATGAAAACGGCGGCAAAAGCAATCAATACGCCTAAAAGAGCGCATACGTCAGACGGCGCATGTGAAGAAGAGATGACTTATGGGCGCGTCACAGGCACGAGCTAGTAAGAAGGAAACGCGTGTCTAAAACGGTTGAATTGAAGTGCATGACAACTCATGCGCGTAAAAAGTTCCTTAAAAATCTTTGATTTTTTAGGGAAAGCATGTCGGCCAGAAATGAATGATCTCGGCTGTCAAATCTTAAGCCGATTTACTGGAAGAAAATACAGAGATGGGTTCCATCACCTCAGAATACCGAGGTAATAGAACCTAGGGGGCAGTTGTGGGGATGTATTTTCTGAATACCAACACGTGGCAAGGTGACGCCGACGTGTCAGCCGAGGTGCCACGTGTCCTGGTTGTGACGCCGAGGTTATCTCCGAAGATATCGGAATCCGAGATAAGTGGATAAAGGACAAGAGTCCTAGAATGAAGAGAAGACTTCAGTTTGGGTAAAGATAAGACTCTTAGAGAGTTTATCCTAATCCCACTGGGAGTCCCAGATTAGCAGTAATCCTAAGTCCGTTAGGGCCAGGCTCCTATTGGGACTAGGATTGTATTGGCTATAAAAGAGAGGCACCCCCATGGGTCTAAGGTATGCTTTTTATGCTCAAGCTTGTGAGTTGAATAATTGATTATCTTTGAGAGATATACTGACTTGATCGTCGGAGTGCCCCCGGGTGGAAGAGCCACCGTCGGAGCCTTTTTCTTTCTGTTACAGGTTTGCTGAAGCCATCTATTCTGTCGGTGCTCTCTAGCTGATTACTAGGCGGGCAGTGTGGTCAGAAAATCACCCACATAGAAGGCAAATAAGATAAAGTGTTGGAGCTGTGGTTCATTTGGAGACTTAGACTAGTTTTTTTTTTTTTTTTTTCTTTTGACTTTTGGTTTGGCAATGTTTTGGTAATCCTGTAATGGAACATAAACGAATTACCTGTGATATTAACTTTGGTTATATATGTATATTAAGATGTTTGTTTACATACAGAAAATGAGACAAGCAACATAGATACTAGCAGCCATTTTAGCACATGTCATCCACTGGCTGAGTACCATTGTACCAAATATATTTTTTCCTCCATCATGAAACACTTAAAAAGAAGAGATATTAAAGGTTGAAGATGGTATCTAATCTGTGAGACAGAAATTTCTGATAGATAGTATCTTCAAACTAACAAGATTACCCATACCACTGGAATTTCAATATACAAATCCTATGAATCCTTTACTAGTATTATTTGCAGTGTAATTAATGAAATTCAAGTGGTAGAAACATGTCAATATCAAATAAAAGCTTCTTTCGAAATGCACATGCCTAAATGTTGCAAATTCATGTGGAAAACCAATATGTGCATTATCTAAGCCATGCTATGTAGTAGTTTGTACTAAATTAGGTTATTGTGGTTGATTTCTTGACAACCTTTTCTTTCTTTTTCCTTGGTCTAGGTGCTGCTTTTGTTCTGCTGGTAGTCTATGATTTTCAAGATTTGTTTGCAGCTATCCTTGGCTTTTTATTGGATGTATTGCCATGCACCTCTGTTGTACTCTTTATTTTACATCAATATATTTCTTCGTCTTTTTTACCGATTAAAAACAAAAAAGACTCTAGTTACTAATTGGAAGTTAAAAGATAGTGGTGGGGCTCAAGAAATATAATCTATCAAGTTTCAAATCTTAAATGGAACAACACAATGTATTTCACAGATGAAATTGTGAAACCAACACCTGAAATTGCACAACCAACAGCTCTTAGCACAAGGTCATAACTGAAATTGCACAACTACCTATTTTATTTCATTCTTTAGTGGCTCCGCCATATGCTGTTGTGCTTTTAAAAAGTCAGCACAATTCTATGAAAAGTTTATTTGAAACTTCATTATTAGATGAACCAAAATTTCAGGTTACGTATGACCGACTAAAATAATAATTTTGAGGTTCATTCTTAATCCATTTGTTTGGGTATAAAATATTTTCTTCTAGTGTTTGGTACAGCAAAAACCATTTTCCAAACGAAAGTCCTGTCAATGTCACCACACTATCACCTCTACCTCCGGCCCCCCGCTGCTGCCACCACCACCAGACAACCATTAGTGTATTGGTTTCAAAGACGCAACAAAATATGAAAAAAAAAAAGAAGAAAGTCTTGGGAAAAAAATTACTGTAGATATTATTTTCCATTGGAAAAATATTTGATGCCAAAACAAACGAAGCGTTAATATGCACACATTAGATATCTTTCTTGTATACTTGTGTTTCTTTCAATCCTTGCATTTAACATGTTGTACTCATGAATTTATGGAATCTAAGGCTAATCAAGAAGTAGATTGTGGAAGAAAAGATAGCACTACAACATATAAAAATTTTAGAGACTAAATATTTTGATCTCTAAAAGTGAAAATTTTGTTACAAAAGATATTTAGGGATCAATTTCTATTGTCATGATAATAGTCATTAAAAAGTCGTCCCGAAAATTCAAAAGCAAAGCTTCTAGCAACAAAATTTTGAAAATGTCACTAATAAATAGACTTTTACGGACTAAAAAATTTGGTCTCAAAATGATTTATTTTTTTAGACAAAAAGTTTGGTCACAAAAAGATAATAATTCATCACTAATGTCTAATTTTCGTTGCTAAAAATACAATGATGACACTTTTCGCAACAAAAATATTTGGTCCCTAAAAAATAATTTTGTTTCTAAATTTTGATTTTTAAAACTTTTTTATTTCCCCAACATTGTCTTTTTAAATTTGCAAAAATAAAAAACTATACCGGAGTTGCATAGTAGTTAGTGGAGGTGGTGAGCATGGCAACAACAAGGATAATGATGAGCTCGGTCAGAGTATTGTTTGAGTTTTGAAAATGTGAATATTACAAAAAAAATAGTAGATAGTTTGGGTGATGAATTGATTTAGAAAACTAATGTGTGGTTGAGATTAAGTGTGAATTTTACTATATAAAAATTGAATATGGATCATATATTGTTTTTATATATATCACTTTGGGTACTTTTGTATAACTATAAAAAAATTATTGTGATTACATGTTATTTATTATCTGATATGTTATTACTGTATTATTGTAATGAGTTTTATTATTAATGACTATTATCAATGTAGTGGTAAGATGTCACATAATAAATAAAAATATATTTTGTTATTATTATTATTGATAATATATTTCTTTATTTATTTTTTACAATGTTCAAAAAATGTTCATTGTTAGTTTTTGTAGATGAGAAGTCCAAATAAATTATATATAATTCAAGTTATAATTAATTTGAGATTGAAAAGGAAAGTTCCAAAAGATATTATAATTTCAAAATAGGAATGGTGATGCATTTAACCAATTATATGATCATTTGAAAAGCTTATGCTCATACAAATGCAACGCATGAGAGTGTACGACAAGACTATAAAACAATGCTAGAGTATGCCATTGATAGGATGCAATTGCATTGAACAAAACTCATCGTTACCACATTCTCATCGGGCCATAACTCCACCATGACATATATGTACAAGAGTCTAAGATCTAACATACATAGATAATTGTAGTCATATATAGAAATTAATCCCACATTTGCCGGCTCCATAAACGGTGGGGATATGGACACCCACAACCATCCGTTTTTCCACATTTGCCGACTCCAGCAACGGCTTGTGGACACCCCAAAACATTTCCCACATTTGTCCGGCGATATGCACAAACAGGGCAATTGGGCACCTTGACTCCCCACGCGGGTACTAACTTTCAACCGTTGGCACCAAGGTAATACCAAAAGAAATGCACATTGCATGAAATGCATGAAATTTTAAAGAATGCACCATTTTTCCTAAGATGATATCAATTCATAATAGTGCAACTCATCCCTTTTCATAAATCAAGGCATTTCCATCATCATTCATTATCTCATCTCAAGTTCAACATCAAAAGGGGACCTCCAAACTTGCATTTCAAACCTAAAACCAAGTAATTACACTGAATTTAATATTTTAGAAATTAATTGAGTAAAATCCCTTTTTATAAATTAAGTTTGAAAATTAGGTTTTGAGAAAAATGAGAAAAATTCAAGTTTTTCTCCCCATTATGAAAATGAGGGAATCATCAATAATAAACAATGATATTCCATCATAAAAAGTGTAATTCCTTCAACAATCATAAAATCTTACCCTAATTATTCTTAATCTTTAGTCAATAACTCAAATCAATACATACATATATACATACACATACTGCAACAATCAATACATTCTATCCCGGGGCTGTCCTAGGCTATCAATCCAGTTCTAAAAATTAATATTAGAATTGCATGAATTTGGGGCAAATGGATTAGAAGAGGTTTGGTGGGCAAATGGATTAGAAGCAGTTAAGGAACAGACAGTGTTGACAGATGACTAAGTTGACGTAGGTGGACAAATATGATTTGAGTGTATAGTGGAACCACCAATGCCAATCCCACCTGCAGATTGACTCATGCGATGGGGCCCTCCTGAATTTGGAATCAATGAGAAAGAAGAGTCAGAACAAGCCATTTCCACAACAAAGCCAGACAAAGACGAATGAAGCCACATGTGCATAAGAAAATGGACTTTTATTTCCCAATCACAAGTTGTTTTCAACTTATTCTCTAACTCACATTGTTCCCTGTAGCCGTGATTTGAAAACATGACTTTATGGTTGAAATCATATTTTCAAACACTTACTATAGAAGTCTTTGAAGTCATGTTTTCAAAACACAAGACTCTAGGATTAAAGTCGTGATTTGAAAAGACTCCATGAAACAACAAGGGTTTGAGAAATAAGTTGAAACAACTCATGACTGAGAAATAAGAATCCAAACCACTTGGGTTTGGTTAAAAACTCAGAACACATACCTTTATCTCCCGACTGATAATCCTCCCACCTAAATTCTTCATGACTTTTATCTTTGTTAATGGGCATAGCTGAAATGGAGTGCAGTTTAGCAGCATGTTGTGTACTAACAGCGCCATCTACTTCAGCAGTTGCAGTGTAAGCTGCTACTCTACTTCCTCCAGGTTGACTGCTGAAAGCCAAATGTCCAAAGTCAGTGGTTTCAAAAGTTGGAGTTGTGGACTGGGGGGCAAATGGAGTAGAAGAGGTTTGGGGGGCAACTGAATTTGAAGCGGTTGAGGAATAGAATGGATTGTCAGGTGATTGGTTGCCAATGTAGGTGAAGGATCAAAGGACCTTGACTGTACAGTGGAACCACCAATCCCACCTGCAGATTGACCCATGCAATGGGGACCGCCTGAATTTGGAATCAACAAGGATGAAGAGTCAGTACAAGCCATTTCAACAATGAAGGCTGGCAGAGATAAATGAAGCCATGTGCATAGGGAAACATACCTTTATCTCCAAACAGATAGTCCTCCCACCTCAATTCTTCATGGCTTTTGTCTTTGTTAATGGTCATGGCAGAAATGGACTCCAGTTTAGCAGCACTATTTCCATCATGTACTTCAGCAGTAGCAGTGTAAGCTGCTTCTCTACTTCCTCCATGTTGACTACAAAAAGCTGACTGTCCAAAGCCTGTAGTTCCAAATGTTGGTGTCGTGGATTGGGCTCCTGCAAAATAGATTGAGAAAATAATAATGATTCATATTGGTAGCAAAAGAAATATGTAACCATATTAGACAGTAACCAGCAATAACTATTGTAAATACCCACCTAAGAAGGAATTCTGATCCCCAAAAGAAGACAGAGCAGTTCCAAAAATGCTGCTGCTACCAGAAGCTGAAGTTGATTGCCCAAATGTTGGAGTGGTACCAAAACCAAATCCTGTGGTGCTTGATGTACCAAAGGTGGGGCTCCTTGAAGCTCCAAATGAAGAATCTTTTGATACACCAAAAACAGAGGCCTTTGATGGTTCCAAAGTGTTTGGAGCGCCAGCACCAAATGCACCGCCACCCGTCCCAAATCCAAAAGCTGCAACACAATTATGTGAGCTGATAGGTGCACTGAAGGCTGGGGAGTGAGCAGAACCAGATGAATTTTGGGTTGATGCGCCAAAGGAAGTAGATGAACCAAATGGACTGCTTTGAAAAGTAGTTTGGTTTTGTGGCAACGAATTCCAAAATAAGTTAGATTTATTAGGATTCAATGCAAATCCTCCAAAAACAAGCTTCTGTCTAAATGCAGAAGATCCTACGAATACGACATAAAAGAAAAAGCTTTTAGTATAAAGAAAATCAAGAGAAGGGCAGTCAGAAAAACAACATATTCCAATAAATAAGAATGGCACTGGAATTTTAACAAAATAAAAATAATACCATAACTTTTAAAGAGAATTGACATAATCACAAAAGCTCATAGGATAATACACTGAAGGGGGGGAAAAACAATCGCAACGGCCAATGAGGCAATTGAAAACCAGGGATGTGTATTGGAACAAATGAGACAAGGAAGAAGAGAAAAACATCTATTTGTCGTTTTTAATCATTTTTCTATTCTAAAATAGCCGTAAAGAAAAGAAGCAAAACAACCCCACCAAGTTCATAAAGAAAGAGCATCTCTTTGTCATATTTTTTTAAATCACTTTTCTATTCTAATATAGCCACATGAAGGAAAAAAGCAAAGCAAACCACACACTGAATATCAGCTCATATCTTGTTTCTAGTCCCAAAAAAAGTAAAAAAATGCAGTACATCATCCAACCAAAAGAAGTGCTAGAAAGATCAAAGTCAGCATGCCGGCCATCAAGTTCCAATCTAGACAAGAATGTATGAATTTACTGATTGTTCAACTCTTCTTGACATTGTCTCAGCAAGTTTTCCAAGAATGGTATATTCAAAGCAAATAATATGGTAAAGTATTGCTATAACGAATTATCCTATCATACTTTCATCACAACCAATTCAGTGAAAAAAATTTAAAACAACAACAAACAAAATTTAAAACAATTTAAAACAACAACAAACAAAATTTAAAACAATTTAAAACAACAACAAACAAAATTTAAAACAATTTAAAACAACAACAAACAAAATTTAAAACAATTTAAAACAACAACAAACAAAATTTAAAACAATTTAAAACAACAACAAACAAAATTTAAAACAATTTAAAACAACAACAAACAAAATTTAAAACAATTTAAAACAACAACAAACAAAATTTAAAACAATTTAAAACAACAACAAACAAAATTTAAAACAATTTAAAACAACAACAAACAAAATTTAAAACAATTTAAAACAACAACAAACAAAATTTAAAACAATTTAAAACAACAACAAACAAAATTTAAAACAATTTAAAACAACAACAAACAAAATTTAAAACAATTTAAAACAACAACAAACAAAATTTAAAACAATTTAAAACAACAACAAACAAAATTTAAAACAATTTAAAACAACAACAAACAAAATTTAAAACAATTTAAAACAACAACAAACAAAATTTAAAACAATTTAAAACAACAACAAACAAAATTTAAAACAATTTAAAACAACAACAAACAAAATTTAAAACAATTTAAAACAACAACAAACAAAATTTAAAACAATTTAAAACAACAACAAACAAAATTTAAAACAATTTAAAACAACAACAAACAAAATTTAAAACAATTTAAAACAACAACAAACAAAATTTAAAACAATTTAAAACAACAACAAACAAAATTTAAAACAATTTAAAACAACAACACTGGGGCTATGTAATCAACCACAGTAGAACCCCAAGGACAGTGCCAGCATTTGACACAAATTTTGTCTTCAAAAAGAATCCCAGAACCAGAATTTGTATCGTTGTCCGAAGCATCTGATCACATTATGCAATAAATTTTAGTGAATTGAACCTCCTAAACATGAATACAGGAGGAAGATTTACAACTTTTCCAAGTCAAAAATGGAAGAGAAGTTACCTTCTAAAATTGAATCCAAAACTTGGGTTTGTTGGTCTGCCCTCTCAGATTGCTTGCCCAAAAAAACTTTTAACATACCCACATTTCCATTATCAAAAAAACCGTTCGAGAAGTTATCAAACTTTTAACATACCCACATTTCCATTATCAAAAAAACATAGCAATTCACAAAAATAACAAAGTATTTGCGCTTCAATTGAGGCAAAATACAAAAAAGATAGAAAAACAAATTACAACAAAACCAAGCTCCACAACAATTCATGATTCGAAATAACCCCAAATACCCCATTTCCATAGGGAAAAAATTAGCAATTTGATTTGGAAAATGCAAAAGATTATGCCTAGTCAGTGACACACAATAAACACCAATGTCCGACACAAATATATGACATGATGATTACCGGAATGGACAGCTCGATTGAAGCGTCTCTATCTGAGAGAGAGAGGAACATTGGTGGATCCAAAGAGAGAGGAGAAACCATTGTCGCCAAAGAAATCAGAAGAGCAAAGGCCTTTGGAACTGTAATACTCATCGCAGGGCTCGAAAGGCAAGTAAGAGGACATCAAACCCTGAATGCCCGATGAGATTAGGCGATAGTCACAACTGAGATAGCCAAACAAAGCTTAAGTTTTCTTTAAGTTTAAAAAAAGGGGTAATTTCATTTAGAAAAATATTTTTAAATTAGTGGTAAATTTTATAAATATTAAAAAGTAAAATCATAAACATTTTCATGAATATGTAACTAATTTTGAAAATTTCATTGACATAGAATTTTCTCTTAAAAAATTAAATTTTTAAAAATATCAATGAATTTCTTAAATATATTTTAATAAAAATTTCATACTTGTTTACACGTACATTAAGGCAGTTTGGTTAGAATGAAAATAGTAGAAAGTGAACGAAATGAAACAAATATATATTTTTGAATTTGTTTAGCATGAAAATGGTAGAAGATACAAGAAAGTTAATTTTCTTGTATAACTAACAATAACATGGTAACTAAGCCTATAGTTTCTTGCAAAAAAAAATACAAGAAAATACAATAAAGTTAAAATATTTAATAAAAGTAGTTATTTATAAGGAAAATTTATCAGAAAATCCCTTTTGGGGGAAGTGTGTACCATTGACTCCTGTATTTTTTCTTATACTCTATGATGTCCTATTTATTTGGTAAGGTGATCAAATAGATCCTGCCTGGTAAGTTGACATTGTTTTTACAGACAGTTGAAATTGACTTTCTGCTAATTACGTTGTAATGTTTGCCACATTTGGAATGGGCGATCTCCAATGTAATCATTTCTGTTTTGATTAGGGTTTTCCGATTCTTACTAGTAAACGGTAGTTCCATTAATCCATTCCGTTCATGGGTGGTCAGACTATGCATAGTGACGGAAGGGCAACAGATATGGGTTCAAGTTTTGAGTGTAGCTTGTTTCATTCCTAGTGGGCTCTATTTCTGTTTGGTGATGGTGACAAAATGGGAGGAGGGTCGGTGTTACATTTGATGGTTCTTTGTTGTGTGTGTTGTGTATTGTAATATATGCTATTTTGGGAATGTTCTTATGTTTGTTGTGTGTTGAAATATGTTTTACGATACCTGTGGTTCACATATATTCGGTGGGGTTTCGGATCGTAATATGTATCATTCTGGTTATTTGTTTCGTATTATATTATTTGTGTTGTGTCACTAATTTTGTAAGGTTGGTTTTACGTAGTAATGGAGGACACTTTCATGCTGATAGAGAAGGTGATACTTACATTTGCGCCCCATCAATATCGGAGTGTGGACACACCGGAATGGACCAAGAATGCCGACAGTGGCCGATCACTCCTCAAATGTTACTAGAGGAATGTCACGTTGCTACGATGAAATGCGAACAAACTGGGTGAAGGCTTAACAATGTGGAATGTTATACACCAAGCCTGAATCTTGGGGATTCAATCTCAAAAATCCAAACGTATAATTGGTGATGATTCGAATGACGAGATACTCGCTGATTCAAAAAAAGATCAAATTCCAACAAATGGGTTAGGATATTAGGGTTTTCCCATATATGGTGTTGCTACATTGGGTGATTTTTGAAATGTGATTTTTTGAGTATCTCTATATTTTAGATACTAAATCTGTAGTGTGTTTTTTTCAAACGTATATCACAAAACGGTAACAAGAAGAATATTGAGATACACCCTCACTTGTCCATTTGTTAATAAATAAGGATGAATGTGTCATTCCACATCACCTAGGACCTCCTGGTTCATAAGATTAAATGTGGGACTAACCAGTCCAACAAATCACAATATGGGCTTTATGGGTCATTGCCCCTAAATTTTATTCAAAATTTTGAACTTCCGTACTGCCTAATGTAAAACTCATATTATTATCCACATGGATAGGTAAACTATTGTGAGCGAGCTTAAGATAAGCATAAGGTACATTAATATGAAACAGGACTCCTCAAACCCTAGAATCATAGGGATCCGAAATAACATTCTATGATAACCCCGATCTGTAATTAGCTAATGATCTATGATTAAGAATGCCTAATAAGTATCTAAGATGAAATCATGTGTTAATTGTGCATTTCATGTGATATTTATGATTATATCTGTCTGACGTAGGAATATTTATTTGAATTTCCATTTAAACATGCGAATTGAAGACCTTATCGGCATCCGAATATGAAATTGACTTAGTCAACGTGCTATTTGGGATTTTTGGAATTTTAGGATGAGTTTCATTAGAATTCGATTCGGAATCAAATAATTAGAATAAATTAATTAGAGTTAATGACAACTAGTTGGTCCAAGCTCAATAAGCCTATATAAGGCTAATGTTGACTCAATAACATTCTAGACACTACATTCTTGAGCCTAAAAATGTGAGAGAGAAGAGAGAAACATAGAAGAAGGTTGAGATCAAAGAAGAAATACGAGAATTGGAGAGAATTTGGAGGAATTGAAGAGGACTTGAGCGAATTAAGCTTCTACACTTGTAAACTCAAGCTTTAGGTAAGAATTCAACCAAATTCTTGATCATAAATTATGTAGAACTTGAGATTATCTAAGTTAAAGTCTAATTTGCATGAAATTGCATGACATTGAGGAAAAGAAGCTAGAATTGCATGTTAGAAAGCAGAATTGATCATGATTCATGCATGCATGCATAATTCACCATGTTTTGAAGTTGATTTCCAAGAATTCTCTCATGCATGTCATTATTTTAACTTAGTTTTTAAAATTCATCATATTCTTTGTTATTTTATCTTAATTGATCATGTTTTCAAAGTAAAGAACTTAGATGATTATATGCATGTTCATAACATGTAAACAAGAGCTTAGTTTTGAAGAATTAACTTGTTTTGGGGTTTTAATTTTGTGAAATGATCTTCAATTCATGATGTGTTATGAGTTTTTACATGTTTTCTT